GATTATTTATGAACTGTGTTATGGTGTTTGCCAGATGACTGTGCAAGGGGCCCCTGTCTAATCCGGCTGTACAGAGCTTACACTGCAGTGACAGACTGCCACATTTTGGGAGCCTTTAGCCTGCAGAGGCAATAGAGGCAAAAGGTCTGAGCTGATCACCCCTGCTGGAGATGGCCAAGAGTGATTAAATTACTTGTCCAGCTTCAGAGACTGAGATCTGCCATAAAGCAGGAAAAAAGCTCAGATCTCCTGAGGCCAATGGCCCCTGATGTGCTGTGACTCCCAGTTAACTCATGGTTGATTAATGATAATTAGGATTTCAGTTAGGAGGAATCACCCATCTCCTCTGCCCTTCACTTTTTCTAGGACTGTTTAAGAAGTCACATTTTACTGGCACTCTTTTTTCTAGAAATTATTTTTGAGGCCCAGATATTGAAGCATCTGCAGACATCTTGGTTCACAAAAGATGATAAAAGACATGACAGAAAACTGATAATTCCCTGCCACTCATCTGAGCCACTGTGAGCAAGCAGCAATCCCTGATAAGATTTATATGAAAAGACCTTTGATTTGTCAGCTATGAATTTGGGAAAATTGTGATCTTTTTGCTGTAGTCCTTGACTAGAATAAAAGCTATAGTCCTAGAATAAAATATTTGCTAACTCCTTCAAAGTAGACTCTGTTGGAGGGGGGATGCTCTGGTGGTCCCACATTTATGATGGACTTGCAGAATTTCTGCTCTCATTTTATCAGGATCCTCTGCCATCATTGCATTTCCCAAATTTTCCCATTTACTTTTTTCTCAGGTGCTGCTTATGCAGCAATTTGAGCAAAGTGTTAAGCAAGCTGGATCAGTGTAAAAGTAGGTTTTTTCGTTCTTCCTAGCTGCTAACATGGATATGAGATTGAAGAGAATCACAGACACAAAAGAATAGTGGTAAGTCCAGCTTTTTGCACCTTTTGAACATCTTTGTCATGCATCGTGTTCTCCTTTTACCTTCACAGTTCAATAGTGAACTCTGAAAGAGATCTCCCTTGTTCAAGTAAAGCCTGACTCCTGTCTAAGATAGCAGCTCAGTTTTACACCCCTGCACTTCCCATTCATTCCAGAAACACTACAGCCTTCCCTGAGCTGGCTCCAGGTCTTCCTTCCTCCCCCACTCCCACCCAAATGGAAGTTGCAGGAGCAAAAAGTTGTAATATTTAGTTTCCTTGCAAGTTTTTTCATGCTGCTTATCTCTGGAAGGGGTTTGATCTTTTCCTGCTTTGATAAGAAGATGACCCAGATGGGAAGGTACAGTTATTTTGTGCCATCAGCAGAATTATAATTTGTTCAAGTTGAAAAATTTACCAGTAGATTCTCACTAGGTGAGGATTTATTGTAGGAGGCCTTAAGGTATAGAAAGCAACAAAAATAGCTGTACAGTATGTGGCTAGCAAGCCTTACAGAGTAATTTGCTTCAGGTGTGCTTGACATTTCTGTGCAAGGAGCCCAATCACTCTCTGTAGTTAACTTTCTTTTTTATGATCTCATTTTTCCTTCTGTGAAAAGGAAATTCTGCTCAATCCTACCAGCTTGTTCCAAAGTCAGGGGACACAGCATTCAGTATTGAACAACACAACAACATGTCAGGAAAAATAAATGAAAAGGCTTTGTGGTGTCAGTTTGGGACATTTCATGAGATGAAATATTTTTTCCATGTGCTGAATGAACCCAGACAAAATCTGTCTAGATACTAGACTCACTACAACCTGCTTGTAGCATTTTTGGAGGAATGACCAGTCTATTTTATGGCAGACACTCAACCATGCTACACACTGTGAAAAATACTCCCTTTTCTCAGAATAAAATTCCTTCATAGTTAGATAAAACAGAGTGGATGTTATTTGGTAGAGTCTTCTGGAATAGCAGAACACATTAACTCTGATTCTACACAGCACTCATATTTTTTTCTTCATTTCTAACTCCTCTCGAATCAGAGCTAAATGAATAAATCCCAATAAAAGGAGAATTTAAAAATTCAAGTGCTTGTTCCAGGTGACCTCATATGTTGGAGAGCAAGTTCTGGGTAACTGTGGGTTACTGGAAGTCTATTCTGGCTGGAAATATATGTGATTTTTTTCCTCCAGGGCTAGGATGAAGCTAGCTTAGCTTCTACTAAGCTGATTCCAGGTAAATACATATTATTTAAGCCTTAAATTTACAGTTCACATAAAGTTCAGACTGTTACTCTCTAATTAAAAACAAACAAAAGTGAACCACAAATACACAACAAAAACCCCAACATTGCCCCTAAACAACAAGAACACACATACACAAAAGAACACAGCTCAAAACCAAATGGATACGAAGTGCAAGTTATTCCAGGGAAGATTATCCACGTGTAAAATGGGCATTTTTTCTGTCTTTGACCTTCCCATGTTCTCGTGAATTTCATTTACTATTAAACAACTGTCAAATAGGAGCAACAGCATTTTCTGTAACTTAAGTAAGTCTCATTTTAAACACTGAAAATACCCCAGGTGCCCAGCTTAAGGAGAGCAGATTGAGCACAAAGAAGAAACCTTCTGCATAAACTTTATGTGCAGAGTCTCACAGTGTCCTTGGGGGCAAAACCAGTATTTCAAAGAATTTTTTTTGTTTTTAAACAGAGAAAAATTCTTGAGTTTTCATTCACAGCTTCTAAAATATAACTACATTAACACTCATAAAACTGCTACATTCTACATACTAGAAAGACTGTTTATCCACAGCAATTACTAAAAGCACCACCCATTCTCACTGTATCTCCCAGGCCACAATCACTGGTGTCAGATGTGTTTTTACTAAAGAGACTGTGGAACTGGTAAGCACAGAGCTTTCCCACCCTTCTCTTCTCCCAAGCATTTGACAAGCTGCAGTTTCAGGGTGGCCACACCCTGCTTGTTATTGTTAAATTGAAATATTAAAGGTGGGTTCTTTTCTATTTTTCCTTCGCCTTTCACCTCTGTTTAAAATAGAGTGCATTGAAGGGACATCTGTGTTACTGGCAGCACCATCACATGAAGGAGCTTTCTATAAATAGCACCACTACTAAATAAACAGCTGAAGCACAGCACTCACCAGCATGGTGAAGTCAGTATTGTATTATTTATTCTTAGCAGATCTGATGGCTGAGGAATAAAGTATACATTGGTTTTCATTTTGAAGTAATATGGTGAAAGTGCAAATAAAATTAAAATGTAAGTCACAAGATGCATCACCAAAATTGCTAAATTTCTTAGGACACACTGGCAAAATGACTGATATCTGCATTCAAAAGGGGCTCCTGAATTTTTACACTTATGGTTTTTAGAGGTCATTTTTGAAAGTGTCATTTCTCATCTCTCTTATTTCTGTGTTTTTCAGCTGTAAAATGGGGTTAATAACACTTAACTAGTTCACAAAAGTATTGGGATGGTGAAATATTCAAGTGAGTAAAATGCATTAAGTTTCTCTGACTGAATGAGTCACAATACATAAATTATTTCAATTTGAGATGTTTGGCACGTGAAGGAGCAGGGTAAATAACAAATAATTTTCTCCTGTTTTCACAACTAAAAAAAATAGCAAACTTCATAAAACAGAGGCCAGACTTTCAAAGAGCTGTGGAAAAATCTATCCAAATTTACATTCAGAGCTTTATATAGACATGTCTCACATCAGCCCTAAATTTTTCTGCTAAGGATTGTTCAAGGACTCATCAAATCTGTGATTTGCTGGTGAAATTCAGTAAGTACTTGCTCTCTAAATTACTACTTTTAAATACACTAACCTGGTAAACATAGTTTGGCTGTTTATGCTTTTCAAAGTAGACCAAAAATACTGACCAGTTTTCTTAGCTTTTTCTTTCCAAAGCTCTCAACATCTCTTAGAATAAATTCACAAAGAAAAGCCTGAGAAAGAATAATCAGGAATGAATAGAGAACAAAACAATAAATATCTTTTTGCCTCTGTGTAAATACATTATTTACCTATACCTTATTATATATGCAGCACTGGTTGCTCTTCATCTGAATCAATCATTGGGAATAATGCCTTATGTCATTAAATGGAAGTGATATTTGTAATATTTTTCAGCACTGATTGACTAAGATCTTAGGTATTTTTCATTGAGATGCATCATTAAAATATTGAATGCAGAAATCAGTACGGTTGGAGGAATACAATTGCCAAGTAAAACAAATCAGAATTAAATGTACATTTCCACTGCAGAGCTCCCATGAGTTGGTATATGAGCCTTAGGAGAGGAGTAGGCAGGTTAGGTCTCACAGAGACTTGTTTTCTTTGGCTGGCAAACAGCTAATAATTTTTTAACTTGGCTCTTGTTTCATATCTCACATTCTATATGACTGCCCTTATGTTCCCATATTTTAAGTATTCTGAGTTTCCTTCATATAGAGCAAGGTCTTCTAATTCAATATCAGTTTTTCACTTAGAATAAGAAGGCAATCTGCTGTGTAGTATATTAAAGGGAAACCAAATATTTTTGGTGACAACTCAACACCTAAGGGTTCAAGCTGACCTTACACTAATGATTGTTATCCTATCCTGTATTCCCCAAGCCATATGGATTTTTGATTCCAGTGCAACCACAGACTTGCATAACAGACCAGTCACTACAGTAAAACACCAGTAATGATACAATCAGACATGTAATTTGTGCTGCTCAGTTAGAATCTATAGGGAGCTGCAGTAGCCAGGGGAGAAGGGTGAGACACACACTGTCTCTTCCAGAGCTGCCTCACAGGACTGAGGACAGCAAAGCTTGCACCCTCTCTTTTAAGTTAAGCTGATTGACTGTCAGCTTGTTCTCTGGCATGACTGCAAAAACAGATTAAGAGGCACTCAGCAAAATGACCCTTCAGGAGCAAAATTTGATGGGTTACCTCAGGTTAGGAGTACAGGCTCCAGCTGGGATTGACCTTAGCAAATTTCTCTCTGGGGTGCTGGACCGTGGTGAGAAGCTGGTTCTCCTTACCTTCTCCCAGAACTGTGCATTTGCCAGCATGCTTGTCTTCTGAAGAACTTCAGTGGGGTAAATCTACAGAGCCAGCTATGAAAGTGGGAATTCCATTTTCAGTGCCATGCTTGGGAGGCTGATTACACAACCTGCATTCATAAAGAACAGTATTGGTGCTTTTTCTTAGCATTTTGAGGGTTTATAAGTTTACTTATAAAACTTTATAAGTTATATTACTTTATAAGTTAAAGTAATGAAATGCAGCTTTTGTTGTGGAGCAAGATCAAAATATTGTACTCTGCATATATTTATATTTCTTGATTAAAGATAACAAAGTCAGAACAACATTCAACTACTCTCCTTTTACAACATCAGAAATTTATGTCTGACTTCAAGAGAGATTGCCTGCACTCTTACAGGTCTGATTCCATGCAGGAAACATAAAAATTTCAAGAGTAATCAAATGATTGCTTGACAGGGCAGTCAGGTCACAAAACAAAAACGCAACAGGAGAACTTTGCCTTTAACAGCACTCCCAGATCAGTCAGGCTGCAATCACACTTAGCACCAGAGGAAAAGTGCACTGATGACAACATTATGCTCAGGGCAAACTTATTTAACCTACTTATACAAGTCTGTATTTGACACTCTGTTCTAGCAGACAGCACATTAATCATGTGTATCTGCCACCATTCATGAAGATTCTCAGTTGACATCTATTACCAGCGCATAACATTTACTTTATGGCTTACTACAACTTGGAAAGGAGCAAACTGCCTTTGCTGATGTTATACAGCTATTTCTGCAGTTTTGCTTTTGGATTGACCCCAAAACTTTCACAGCAGCAAATCCCAAAATACTTACAATCAAGTTCTAGCTCATCTGGGAACTACTGAAAAACATTTCAAATAAAAGCACACAGAGCTCAGCTAATGTTTGTCAGTCTATCAAAATCAAACCAAGAAGAACTCTCAGAAGAATGATATAGCATTAACAGTAGTTTCAATATTAAACATCACAGCAACATCTGGTTTTGTTACATCCTTTGTTTCTAATATAATAAAAGGCAAGCTCACTGTACCATACCTGCAAAGCCTGCTTTCTGTCCCATTGAAATCCAGCAGCAGGTGATAAGGGCTTTGGGACTGTGTCAAAGAGATGAGCAGAGAGGAAGTGAAAACAGCCACAGCCTCATTCACTGACCTCACTATGGGAATGGACAAGAGCCACTTCTTCTTAAACAAGGTGATTCCCTCAGAAAATCTGGCATGGCACAGCTAACCGGCAGGTAGCCAAGTTAAACACCTGCATGCCAGACAAAACCAGCTGTCTGTCCATCTCTGCCAGCCACCTGCTCAACATGCTTCCTACCAGTGGACTGAGATCTTTCAGCAAATACCAGTCCAAACACAAGGTTGTTTGGTGTTTTCCTTCCTTTTCTCTACTCTTCCTTAGGACCTTAATTTTCAAAGCATCCATAGATCAACTACAGTGATACAACTACCTTTATTATCACCAGCAGCTGAACATCACCTCCATTTCAGTTGATGACTGTGGAGATATAAGTAACACACACACACTAAATAAGTTACTATTAAATTGCTGTTGCCTTCATTACTCATAGAAACATAAATACTGTGTTACTCAAGCTTTCCAAAAAAGAATTAAAAATTAAGGATAAGATTATGTTTTCACACAGTTAATTTATCAAAGGATTCAAGAAGGGGTTCTATAAGGGAAAACAGAATTTTCTTTCATCTGTCCAGCATTTAAAAATAAGTTAGCTACTTTGAAACATACACAAATTTAACACACACAGAATGAATAGACAAAAGGGATGGTATAGGTGTTGGACTCAGGAAGTAAAAAATATTTAAGTTGCCTTTCATTTCATCTTTAGCAGCTCCACAGTTACACATACAGCTGTTATTAGCAGTATCAGAGTCTGAATTTGTATCAAGGGAAGAAATGCCACCCCACCCTCCCTTCTCAGCACAGAGGTTCTCAAATCCATCCTCACAGAATGAAGCTTTCACAACTATCAATAAGATATAGGTGGGTTTGCTGGTGACATGTGTAACAGCAGCTGCAGACAACCCTCATCAAAGTCCCACAAAACCAAACTTTGCAAGCAGTCTGTGCTTTCAGGCCTGAACATGCTATCCCATTTGTTCTAAACAACAGGGTTTATTCTTCCCTTCTTTGCCTACAGACCCACTTGCTCCTTAGTTCCCAGGTTAGTTGCTCCATCTGTTTCAGAAAGCATTTTGACATCTGGCAGGATGAAGGGCATCACTTAGACTACTTACAATAATTTTAACCTCTTTTATCGCTCATCCTGCTCATTCCTATGTTAGTATTTTGAAGGAGGAGGACATGTTAAGTTTGTACAGAAAGTGCGCTGTGTCTGAAGAGGAATGACTGTGCATTTACCTTTGAAAAGTTCCCAACAGCTTTGCTCTCTGTTTGCTGGGTGCTGGGAAGCTTCTCCACACAGTGAACTCTTGGTTCACTCCTTGTTCACACAAACTATCTGTCTATTTTCAAACTGGCAAAGCTGAACTGGTGCTACACAGGATGTGCAGATCAGGGAGGCTAATACAAACCAGCAGGACACTTTCAGCATTGTGTTCATTCCCTTTATATGATGTCACCCTACTGCTGTCTGAGGAGGGGGGGAGGTGAATGGATTGATGACTTACTTTTCTAAAATTTATAGGTAAATTATATTTTCCTGTGCAAAATACTTAAAAAGAGGTAAGGTAGAACTTTCTCACTCCTTTCCTAGCTTGGAATCACTTGCTGTAAGGTTTGTGAGTATCCATGAATGCAATTTAAAAATGGAAGTTTACTTTTTAGTAAGGTGATGTCAAAAAGATTTTGGAAGTGGATCATGGTATTACTTAATTCTACAGTACCTGCAGTGTCTTCCTCTGGCTCCTCCTCTCTCCAAGAATGCCCTACCAAGAAGTGTCACCTTAGGTCCTGGAAGAAACAATATTTCATGGCTACTTACAACCAACCCTGCTCATAAAACCACAGCATTAATTTCATGTTCAAGCTGGCTCTAAATGCTGATGGTTTAGCAGCTGCACAACACATCAATATAGAAGGGCATCAGTCATTCCAATGTGAGCTGTGCCCCAAGTACCAAAACCTATGATGAATTTTATATTCCTTTATGGTTATCTAACCATGGATACACAAGCCTTTCTTTTCTTCCTTTTATTGTTTTTTTTTTAATTCAAACACTTGGGGTTTAAAACATATTAATATATTTTATAGGAAATTATTTTTTATAGTGGTACAGAACTGCATTGCTTGCTTAACTATGGACTGATCCCATTGCACTTGAGCTGGCAGAACTCCTTACAGTAAGGTGCTTCTGGGAAGTTCTGTTGTCTTTACATCCAAACCAGAGGTAAAAATCCAAATTATTTTCAGTTTGGACTCAAAAGCAAAACTATGTTTTTGAATTCACATCGATTATCAAAAATGTGGGATGGAAAATGGTTCAGAGTAGGAGGCTACATCTCAAGTTACTTTCTATTTTTAAGTAGTGTTTGCCCTATTTGCTACTGTCAGAATGGCAAGAACTCAAACAGAATATTCACATCAAGGTCACAGTTCACCCCTCTAACTACTGATTTGTGTGAGGGAATGCAAAGAATTTAATACAAGCTGCAAATTGTTCCATTTCCCTTAATTATTTTCCCTGTGTCAGATACAGTTCTTTGGTGGGTGTTTGTTTTTGCAACCATAGTGATGAGATATATTTGCTGGCTGCAGTCAAAATAATTCCAAACATTTATCTACTGGCAGCATTTTTTATTCCGAAAATCCAGACATTTGCCTGCTTTACACCCAAAGGGTAGGAATTTGGAGGCTATACTCCCAAAATAACTCTTACATTATTTTTCAAAATCAGAGCAATAGTTCTGAGGTTTTTTCATATATTCCCACAAAAAGTCATGGCCACTGCTCACACCAACACAGAGCTGCATCCATTTAAATTTTTGTTACTCCTTTCTTGAGAAAAAATCCTCACATGATCTCATGTAAATCATAAATATAAATATTCTTCAGAGCAACTTCCCTTATAACATGTGTGCAATAAATCACTTTTCCCACAGTGCTGCTCTGCTACTGCTCCTCTTGGTGGGAAAATCTCACAGTATATGATTTGACAAACTGCTGACAAAACCAGCTTCATTTCAGAACCATAGAGGAATCAAACGCTCACCAGGAGATCGTAGTTAACAGGCAGAAGTGTATTTAAAAGCATGTGTGTACATGCACATAAATGCACATTGGCTAGTTGACTTCACTGACCTTGGATACAAGCAATGATTTTGACAGATCCATACTGGTGACAGCTCTGAAGAACAGGGTTTAACCCCCTGTGATTAGTTTAGAGGCTCCTATTACAATTTTTGCTGGAGTAATGAGTGCTAGCAGGATAGTGACCTTTTCAGCTGCTTAAGTCAAAATCCATAAAAGACTGTGAACTGGAGCCTTCAGCAACTGCTGCTCACAGGACAGTAAAAACTGAATTTTATGGCTGCTTGTTCTGCTACCCCAGACTGGGTGTCTCAGGGCAAGAACACCGCCCAGCTGCCACTCCTCCCAGTGGCCTGACAGCATCTAGGAGAACAGGCAGGAATCTCTTTAGTTATGCCAGCATGAATTGGCAGAGTTTGGGATTCCAAGCACGTAGTCACATGAGAAGGCCTTATTCTCAGAGCTGGAATAGCCCCATTGATTCAGTGTGTCCAAAGCAATTGGATTATGAAACAAAAGTAAATTCTGTCCTCCTGTTTTCTCTACATCACTTCCTCCTTGCATGTGCTGCTTTCAATTCTATTTTCAAAAAGAGACCATGGCTGCAATATAACTATGCTTAGAGTGTAACCAGCCAGTTAGTGCTGACAAGCTGTGGAGAGCAAAATATGCTGGTAGGAAAGGAAGGAGATATTTGATTTGGGAAAACATCAGTGGTTAATACTGTTTCAAGAAATTCTGGGCAAGTTCCCATCTATTTGAACTCAAAAATTGTCGCAGAGCAGTGATTATTTTGCCAACACTTTCCAGGAGGTGCTCTAAGACATTATTAGAAGTAGCAGGTGACTAAAGATTCTAATTTTTTGTCAAATTACAAAATGACATTGACTGTTGAAAGGTAACTAAGGCATAATCTTGCTTGCATAACCTGGAATCAGAAAAATACTCCTTGTCTCTGCCACACAGTATAAATCCAAACCGAGGGCAGAGATGATTTCAGGTTCCCTGACTGACAGCTTTCCAACATACTCACTTTCTGTCATGAAGAATGCACTGGCACAATGACTCTAAAGAAGCCTTTGTGCAGGACTGAGTGTAACAATACAGCATTGTGGGAGCAATTTGTTTCCTTTTCATTAATGAAGATATATAAGATATGAAGTAGTGGACACTGACTTTTCATCATTTCTGTTAGAGGTGGCATCTCCCGTTGCCAATTTAAGCAGGAATTGAGATGACAGTCAGAGCAGTTGATGTCCTCTAGGATGGGTGTTGCTAGAGAGTATTATTGTTTAAAAATAGTTTCTAAACAGAATGTTGTAGGAGGATAAAAGTTCAGTTGAAGTTGGGCAGTGGCCAGCCTGGGTTCACAGAGTAATTGCTAATTGTGTAAGCTCTGCCCAATGCTCTGTTTACCAAGGATGTTTTGCCCATTTTAGCAGAGGTGGGGCTCATTTCCTTAACAGACACAGAACAGAGCTGCAGTCTGCTCTGTATCCTGCTTGACAGAGCATGCTCAGATCCTTAGGCATTCATAAAATGCAAAAGTAACTTCTCCCTCTCCCTACTGAGTAGTGACCTCACATAAAAGGATCAGGATGTCCCCCACATTCAATATTTACCTTTTCCTGCTTGTATATTTCAGAAACATTCACAGTCAAGTTCAAATCAGTGCTTGTCTCAGTTAATCCTTGCTGTCAGACTTGGTTTAAATGCAGCATTCCCAGTATTCCATTTTGGTCATTGGGGCATGACAGCAATATAAGAAAGTGAATGCACAGTCCCTGCCTTGAGTTTGTTCAGTAACTCCTCACAATTACCAGCAGAGCAACACGTGTGGTTGCTGACATGAGCAAACCTCAGTCCGGACTGCAGAGGAAAGCTAAAATTTATTTAGTACCAAAACTTGCTGTGGGTAACAAGCTCAATGGTGGATATTAGTGCATTCACATAAGTGATTTACCTCAAATAACAGCTACTAGCTGCAAAACCACAGAGTATAAAAGCATCAGTTTTTTTGTTAATGAGCTCTTGTCTCCTTCATTATAAAATTAACCCAAGCCTGAATCAAATAAAGAAGTTTTTTAAAATAACCTTAAGCTTAAAGCATGTGATTGAAGGAATGGTTTTAGAATGCTCAAAATTCTCTGCCAAGCATTCAGAAACTACAGCCATAACACTTGCGTAAATCAATGCCAGGTCAGAGGATTATAATCATAATTTACTGTGATTATTCCTCTCGTGCCACATTATACTGATAATTGCTGCTACAATTGCAGTTAGGGCACCCACCTGTGCTTTCTTATCTTGTAAACACCCCATTCTTAGAAATTGTTCAGATTTTGAGGTCTATACAGTTATACACTTGAAAAAGTATCCAGAGCCCATGACATGGAACTGGGTAGGCAGTGGATGGCCCACATGGAGCTGCATAACTGCATTACACGTAATGGTGCTGGAGTTAATTATGTCTGCAACAGCAGCCTTAGCTCTGGATTCCTCAGCCTTAGCCAAGTTACACCTAGAACATGGAAAACCTTGTATGCCTGTGTTTGTTTAAAAGCAGTACAATCCACATACCTCACCCTTATAAACAATGAGAAAAGAGTTGGGTGCATGAGCCTTTCACTTTTAACAATGACACGGCGCTGCAGAAGGCAGCAGATACCAAATAAAGCCATTCCTTGCACCCTGTCCCAAATCTGAGTCATAGCCCCTGGGACCTCAGGACCTCTGAATAGTATTTCCTTTGCATGTTGTCTTTAGCTTATTAGCACACCCATCTGACTGAAGGAGACTGCTACTGATTGTGTACCACCTCCAGCAGTAAGTCAGGGTGGGTCCTGGGGGGAAGGATGTTTGAAGTGCTTTGGAACAGAAAGCCTGCAGCCAAAACTTGAAGGAATATTGTTCCCCAGGGTTTAAACTCACTGAACTCCATGTCAGTGCTTGAGAATGCAGTGTACCCGCTGAACAGAGAGGACATCCAGTTGGGCAAAACTTGTAGAAAATCAGAAAAAAAATTTCCTACCCTCCAGGAAAAGTTGCATTCTTGGAATTGATGTTCACAGCCTTCAGTATAGCCCTGGCAAGTTCTACTTACAAAAGGCACCATGTTTTGTGTTTTGGCCAGGATCACTGCACATACTGATATTACACTTTTGTTTCCATTCTTTTCTATTCCTGCATGTTACAGCCCCACAATTCCCTACAGCAGGGCTTGGCCGCCATACTTTGCAAGATTTCATGGACAGTGAAAACTACATGCTTATTATAAAATATTTCAGTGCTTCTGGTTTGTGTTGGAATTATCGAGACTACTCATATTAGATCCACAGGAGGTTTCTGTGCTACTGCCCAAAAAACATCTGACTTACTGCAAATGCACCCTGTGTCTGTTCTGAAAATGTAACATGGACATATCTGGCAGCTCCAAACTGCACAGTGTCTCTGCCTGAGCTACTGAACATCCATAAATCCTGGACAAATGTAGAAATGGCTCAAATTCCTCCAACAAAGAAATTTCCAGATGGAAAAAGAAGACATGCATAAGAAAATCAGACCAATCAGACCTAATTTAGAGATGCCTTTGCTTTCCCTTGTCAAGAAGGATGTGTGCAGTCTCCTCTTTTTCCATTCCAGTCTTCTGATCCTTCAATGCAGAAGCAGTGTTTCAAAGGCATCATGCGATGCACAAAAAAGCCATTTAGTTCAAGAAAAGTCCTTACCTAAGTGGGCATATATTTAAAAAGAATGTTTGCTATAAATAGGGGAAACAAGAAGCACACATACCAACACAAACATCTCTCCATGCTCTTCTACTACCTACTGCTTTGGCTTTAACAATGATGTGTTTTCCAGTTACCTAAATAAATACTTCTATATACCTTCTCAGATAAATCAGGGCTGTCTTTCATGGTGTAGTTCCACAAGAACCTGAGAAAAACAAAAACCAAAAAAGAGTAACATTGTGTTTCCATTCTCTTTTAAGCCATTCCTCCCTTCTTTGTTATGGTCCCACCTTGCTGCTTGCCCAAACCACAGCACTAATCACCTATTTTCATTAATCAATTCCATTTATTAACTCAAGAAAATCCTGCCCTTGTCCTGCAGGGTGAACAGGTTAAAGTGGACTCTCTGAAGGGCTAGATAACACACAGAAAATGCTGGGTGTGTTAGCTGGGAGCAAAGGAACAAGATTATCCTTTTAGCAGTGGTAAACTACAAGATCAGCTCACCTTGCCTCATGAAACCACAGGCTTAGAGGTTGAGGTTTACCTCAACACCTGCAGATAATCCACTTAACCTGGTGTCTTTGCTGGGCAAAGAATGTGCTCAGCCAACAGGATTGTGCTGCTCTCTGCACCCAGAGAGTCTCCAGCAACCCAGAGCTCCCTGTTCTGCCACTGAAGGAGGAGAACTCCTTCTTCATAGCGCCTCTTGTCCAGAGCTCCAAACATGGCTACATTTACATCACAAACAGCAGAGGGGATGGCTCCTTTGGTAGGTATATAAAGGGAAAAGAAGGAGAAAGAGAGAGGAACTGAATGAGAAACCAAATGCATTTGCTATTTTCTGCTTGCTTTCTTTGTTATTTAGACACTTTCCCAGTCCAGAGGTTAATTCTTTTTGCATGTTAACAAAATTTAATTTGATTGTTTGATGTCTTTTTGGTTTTTTTTTTAAACATGGAGTCACATTTGCAGAGGTAAATCCTTTCAGATGTCAGAATCTCATCTATTTTAGTTAAATGGAAAGCAAGACTGTCTCCCAAAAGTTTGTTGAAATTAAAATATATGGAAATAGAGGATTTTCTTTCAGTAGAATTTAGAGGGGAAATCTTTTGATCATAGCCATTTAATATATTGGTACAAAATAATATCTAGTTTATTAAGAAATGTAGGAATAAGTTTTAGTGCCTCTAATGTCACTTTAGAAGTATCACAGTATAAACTTGTGGTTCATGCATAATAACATCAGTTACAGACTAGTATACATTGCTGACTGCCTTACTTCTAAAGCTTATAATTTCTAAAATTATGTTCCATAATTAAACCAAACAATTCTATAATATAAGAGCATTAGTTTAATGAAAACCAGTTATGTATCAGTCTTCAGCTTAATTTGCTCTTCACAGACTCCAGAAATAAAGGGATTAACTATTGCAAATCCTCCATGGTACTTTACATTTAATCACAAGCAGTTTATGATAATTTATTCCACATGTCTGATGCAACTGAAAAATATTTGCAAATAAAGCTTGCTGATGCCTCCAGGAAGTGAGCTTTCATTCTGTTCTAATATTAGCAGCAGCCTGCACCAGTGCAGCATGGAACACTCCCTCCATTCCCCCAGTGCTGTCAGCCATCACTTTGTGCATGCACAAAACCAAGGAGTGTTTGACACTGATTGGGCTGAGGAACATCTGCCACATTAGCACTGAAGGACCATCAAGAATTGAAAAAGAAACTTTCCTGATGTTTCAATCCAATAGTAGAAGAGTGTCAGAATCAATTTCCTGCTTTTTTCATAATTGAAATAAGGTCTCAAAGTGAGAAAATTCTTTTAACTATGGCATATGTTTTCCTGTCTTGATATTGCACAGAGTGCAATTATAGTGCATCCCCATAGTGATGGTTTGTTTTTCCATTTTATTTAAATCTGCTAGATTTGTGAAAATCATACCTTTCTTCTTATACCAGGATGCTGTGATAGAGGAGTTGCTTTCTAGGGTACTGTCACAAGTACCCCTTGTATGGCAACCAGGGGCTCACAGCTCCTGCTGAATTTCAGGGCAGGGAGATCCTCTGGACTCACTAGCTCTGTCCTGACTCTGGATGAGGCCAGGGCACCTGGCTCTCCCTCAATTTACAGCCCAGTATTAACCAGGAAATCTACTATTGGCACACACAACTTCTAATTTGGGAAAAGAAAATACTGCCTGGCAAGCTTGCAAGGCTGCTGACCCTGGGCTGCTGGAACAAGGCAAAGCACCCTGCTCTGTGCTGCATCCTGAGCTAATCAGTCCTACCTTGGCTTGCACAAATCCTTTGAAACTGGTCTGTGAATCTGTGTAAAAGATCCCCCACTCCTCTCATCATTTTATATCCAACTTTAGGTATATAATTTTGGCATTTGATGCAATTATTTTCTGGGTTTTTGAACTCCCATGTCAAAGCACAACATGGAAGCAGACTTTTTTGGACCTTTAGGATTCTATTAGGCAAACTAGCACTCCCCAGGAAATAGTGGCATGAAAATGCCTGTCTAGAAGTTGCCTCCATGGCCTCCAGCTCATATTTCTAGGGAAAAAAATACAGTAAAATGAGTGTTTAGACTGCAGAGAGAGTTCTGATTAGCATTTAGATTTAGATATTAATTCAGTTGACATAATAATGACTATTTTTCATTTGTCCAGATTTTGGAAAGAGTTTCAAGGCTGGCTCTCCCTAGACCCCCCCTTCCCCCCCCTGGAATATTTGTTCTCTATCTTCCTAACCATAGCTCTTCCCTAAAGGCTGTAAACCTAATTATGAGAGGACTAAAGAAATTGATTAATTTCCCAGTAGCACCATGACTTCAGTCACCATGTGTATGTCATTAAGCAACACTTTGGTTTCTTAACTGGCTGTTTTTTTAAAGCCCCTTTCTGGCCTGCAGAGACCAGCAGGGCCAAGCAACAATAGCAATCTTGGCACAAACAGCACCACTGACCTTGAAATCCAGATTATTAATTCATTTCAAGCACTTGTTGCAAAGCATTGTTTCTTCATATTGTATAACATCTTGCTATATGAGGTGGTATGATCCAAGCTAGAAAAAAATCATAGAAATCCTGCATTATTAAATGTCATTAATCATTAATAAGTAAATCACTTTCTTTAAACTAATTTAGAAGTACAAAGAAGTTTTAAAAGGCTAGAAGTGATTGTGCCACTGGGTAACCAAACATCCATTCTGAAAAATTTAAAACATCAAGTCAATTTTCTTTTTATGAATATGGCAAGAAGAAAACCAGGGAATTAAGATTTAAAAATCAGAAATTTGCTCAGGACAGATTACACACCCAGAAGATTTGGAAATAAGGTTTAAAAGAATAATTAATTTTCATTAGAAGTAAGAAAGACTAAAACCTGGTTGGTATGGTATCTCTGTATTATTCATTTGGCTTTGAAAATGAGAAGCATTGTTACACATCTGACTGAGAATATTACAGTTTAACAGCTCTGAATGCAGTAGGTAGAAATAGAGGCTTTGTGCCCCCTGCAATCAGATTTTATTTAAGTTTTAAAAATAAAATCCCTGCTATTTTTGTCACCAGGGAAAGTTCTCAGACATGTAAATCACTAAAATTGCCCCACATGTTTCAGCAGAATTCATGCCATGTTTACAAGCAAATTTAAAACAAGGAAATCCTTCCCAGATACAAAGGCTCTTACTGCCTATTGTTTTCCCCAGATTTAAACCCTGCTTCCTGTTGTACACCAGAGTTTTTAATGTTAATCCACTACTGATGTGTCACTTTTTATGGCCACTTTCAAAAGTTCAAATGGTAGCATGTTTATCATTTTAGCAATACTTTGCTCTCAAGCAGCTCCTGTTTTCTCTGAAATCCAAAATATCCAACAGAAATTACATGAGCAAACACACAATTCTGTCATATGAATGATGATCTTTGAACACATTTCAGGAAAAAGTGTGTGCTATTCTAAACAGCATTAAAAATAACTTCTGTGCAGACATTGATTTCTGCCCAGTGGTATTTGTTCTGTGTAAATGAATCACCTTTACAGCAGAAAATGTGAAGGAAAATGATGAGTGGGGAATGAGTGATGTGTATGGGAATCTGAAAGATGACACACTTCCATTGTGCCTTTGCAGTGTAAATATTTCCAGCTGTAAGGTTACAAAACAATTCAGTACAGGATTTTAGGGCATGTTTGCTATGTCTTTCTCCAAATCTATGGTGGGTGAGGATTCAGAAATCTTTCTACTGGAGACTTTCTGCTAAAAAATAAATCCAGTTCACAAAAAGAAAAGTAGCTGTTTCTTTTCTACTATAAGGTACTAAAGCACAGGTTGGAGTAATTCTCAGAATAAAAGATAAAAATGGATTTGAATAATTGTCAGTTTGTCAACATATGTTAGGTCTGCATTAGTAATTTGGGCACAATAGGAATGTATCAGTACATCAAAGCAACTTATTCTCTGGCCTTTATGCTTACACAATGTACTTTTCTGGGTTTTCTCTTTGGACTAGATTTAGTCCTGCCCCCAGATTAAATGTCTCCCACATGCACAGTTTTACATCAGCCAAAGGATCAGTCACTGGTACAGATTGCAGGAATACTGAAGAGAAAGGTATAGCTAAGACAACTTAAACACTGTCCTCAGTAAAAAATGAGTCTAATTAGGGTGAAATGGTATTTTGTTCACTAAGAAAACAGGCATCCATTCTAAATTCCTTTCAGACTAAGGCATGATGACACATTTGGCATTAATTACATTGTGGTGCCATAACACTTATTTGCAGGACTGACTGCCACTGAAAAACATTTTCCTGTTCCTACCTTCAGCAAATTTCTAGCAATAATCAGTGTAACAAGCAGAACAAATCAATTTCCGAGGGTCAGAGTACTCTGGCATATCTACCACTAAAAACAAAAAAGCACTGAGGTACTATTTGCTCTTGACCACATTGAGAAAAATCATTCTGTCTCACTGCCTCCTCTTCCTTCCTGAATTCCAGCCTTGTTCTCCATTGTGTCCACAAGGTTGCTGGAATTATCATTTGCTTTGCCTGACACTCATCATGTTTCATTCCCTCCTTGAATCTCATTTACAGGTTTCAACTTCCCCCTCCAAACTTCCTGTCTTTACCCTTCATGTCCACACAGCATCACCTCCAGTGCCTGCTCTGACTCTGGAACCCTGTGCAGCCCAGGCAGCTGAGGTAAAAACTGCACCTCAGTACTTTAAAAAATAAAAAACAAACAAATATATTATTCAGGACACTACTGTGGCAAAGCCTGAGGATTAGGACAACACAGAAATATATGAGAATAACTTGCTGCTGAAAGAATGGTACAGACACCAAAAGATTCCATCTGCTACCAAAAAACTGCTTCTAGTGACAAGCATTAAAACATTACAGATAAGAGTCTGGACAACATGAACTACCATAAGGATGTTTTTAATTTCAGTGCTTTGAATTGCCTCTTTTCCTTTTTGCACTAATGACTGGTCATAAGCATATAAGTAATCTTACTCCAGTTAAACAGAAAAAAAATCTGTACAACCCTGGATATCACCTATCCGTGCTGCACGGAAATGCCTGTCTTAAAATTATCACTGATTGTGAATTCTATTCAAAGAAAACTGTCCTTAAAATATTTTTTCTCAGAAGTTCATTTCTCTTTCCAAGCCTGCAAGTAATCCTAGTGCTGAAAATGGCAACACAAAAGTGAATTTATTATACCTGGCAAAACCAAGAAAATTTTCCTGGCCTGTCTCAATAATCATTGTAATAATTGCCAACAAAAATCAGTAAAGTGAATATTTTCAAATGCCTCCCAGGCATATCATGTGCTATCCAGTGTACCCATCACCCTGGTTTTCTCCAAGATGTGAAGAACTCTGAAGCATGAGCTGGAAGTTGTTACAGTTATAAGAGCTGACATTATAATGTACAGATGACAGTCCAGAATTGGTCCTCTATGCTGCCCAACCTCAGTTTGAAAACATCAAAATCACAGAATCATAGAATGGTTGGAAGGAGAGCATGAAAATCTTCTCTTTTCCAGGCTGAACAATGCCAATTCTCTCAGCCTTTCCTCACAGGACAGGTCTCTTAGCTTTCATCTTCTCCTGGATGAAAGCTGAGAGAACACTCATTGGAGTTTGGTAGAGATGCATTCTGGACCACAGAAATATCTATAAGGGCAATATTTTCTAGTTTCAGTTCTTTGAAGTAAACACAACTATGCACTAGAAGCAGATTATGGTTGCATTTATCTGCCATCACAGTGAGAAGGATATCACAGTCAAATATCTCCTTTAGTATTTCCTGAAAAAAAATCTAGTTCAATTTTTGTTACATTTGATAACCTTTTCTGGGATTAGCAGTTCATCAGCTGGACACAGGCTAACAAAGGAACAAATTAAATGAGTTCATACCAGGATATGTGAAACAATGAAAACAGTGAACCTAAGCAGCAAATTAATCTTGCTAAATTGGCATGCAAATACAAACCTCTTACAGGAGGAGCAGAAGTTATTAAAGCAGCAAAGCTGTCCTCCAGCTTTCCAAATTTAACTAGGATCATGCAGGATTCATAACAGCACAAAAGATGCCATACAATAAAAATTAAGAAGCACCAGATATTGCCAGGCTTCCAGCACATTTTCCTGCAGTAGGGAACAGAATCATCCCTCGTGATTTTACAGACTGAAGCTCAACACTTTGATCAGCTTAGGCTATGAGTTTGCAATAGCCAGGGCTATTTCTAACAATTTGTTTTGCAGGATTTGGTTTGACATTTCACAGAGAGAAGAATCAGCCACTCTCAGCTGCAACCATTTCTTCTGTAGATATGTGCTTATTCAGTTTGTTTGCTTTCTCCAATTTTTTTATCCCTTGGCAAGACTTCACACACACTTCTGAGGAACAAAAACAGATTTAAAAATCATTATTATAAGTCAATGCAAGACTGTATAATAGAAAGACTTTTACTGAAAGTAGGAAAGCATATAATCTTGTTATGAATAAAGCCAGCCAAACTTCAGACAACTATGCCAGGTACCTGCAACTTGGGAAAGGCCATGTCTAATTTGCACAAATCATTGCTGCTTTTAGACTCTTTTATGCTCCATAATATGGAAGATGCAGCCAACAGAAGATGCTTGCTGCAGGAATAGTGTTACAAAGGCACTCCCAAATAAGATACAGTTATAAAAATATGTAAAAAGCCATAGGATTTTCAATGTAACTCGCAGAACAGAGCAAGGTGCTGCTCTTCAATTATATTGTGGTGTACATTTACTAAGGATTTAACAAACAAACACAAGAGAAGAGAAAGGTGCTTACAAAAAATAATGGATAAATTAACGAACAATATCTATGATACTCAGAAAGTACCTACAGGAATTAATATCAGCAAAAATATCTATAACAGTAGAGTCTCATCAGAAGAGCCTATTAATTCCCAAAGGACCAAGCAGCCCTGACAGATTCTATGAACTAGAGGACTGGGAAAAGAAAACCCCAAAATAAATGAAGAAAACCCCAAAATAAATGAAGAAAACAACTTGAGAGGTAGCAAAATAAATGGAATTCGAGGGGTGCAAGACCATGAAAGACAAGAGAGCAAGAGAAGGAACAAAATTATGTTAATTCTAAAGCCTCCTTTAGAATGCAGCTGTCTACAGCTTCCCCACAAGGGGCAGAGGAGGGGCAGGCACTGTCCTCTTCTCTCTGGTGACAGTGACAGACCTGAGGAAGTAGCGTGAGGCTGTCAGGGGAGGCTCAGGTTGAATATAGGGGAAAAGGTGGCTGGGCAGCCCACCAGAGGGTGGCTGGGCACTGGAACAGCCTAGGCAGGGAACTGGTCACAGCACCAAGCCTGACAGAGCTCAAGAAACACTTGGACAACGCCCCTGGGCACATGGTGTGATTCTGGAGTGCAGGGCCAGGAGCTGGACTCAATGACCCCAGTGGAACCCTCCCAACTCAGGATATTCTGATTTTATGAATCCTTCTTTGCCATAATGTCACCATAGCATTCCTAATAAACCAGAAACCCATGGTAAGCTTTGATTCTCTCTCCATGCTCCAAATCTGAAAGAATCAGGAGAATGTCACTTACTTCTCCATCTAGCCACTAGAGGCAAACTTTTCTCTCTCCTTATAGCTAGTCTTCAGATCTAGCTGGTCTCCCAAGGTTAATTCACCTTTCTCCTTTCTGAATTTATTCCCTGTTTTCCTAAGTCATATGATATACAAGTGGCCTAAATTTCCACATGAAACTTCTTTGTTAATGTAACCAGTTTCCTGATGTTTCTTATTTTACATTTTCACTATTATTTTGACATAAAATCCTGCATTGTCACAGTAATTGCACATTTGTACTCTTAAGCCGTGGAATTTGAGTCCCTGTATGATCATCTCCATTCAGAATTTTTTTATCTCAAAGTTGACTCTACTCAATAATTTATATACCCCGTTACATCGTGGGAAATCAAGCAAGTCTTCTGTAAGACACCATTTCTGCTTTAAGTTTTGCCAAAAACTGCTGCCAGGATCAACAGAGATTAGAAAGTTCTGTGTGGATTTAGTGATTGTTCTCCACAGAGAACTCTATCACCACATGAATTTTTTTAAGAGAGAGAACTCTTTTTGTTGCCAAAAGACTACACAAAATGGAGATATGAATGCAAATGAATTTCCTCTTTGATAATCATCTTATGCAAATATCAGTCCACTTAAATCAGTGGTGTATCCTGCAACAAGAAGAAAATCTATCTATCTAGGCTTTTCTCTTATTGAATATAACTCATTAGTTTTTATGTCACTAATTTTTTCTTTAATTTCTTGTTTGCTGTAGCTACTACTGCTTAAGATTGCTCAAATGTTGTATTTGGGGTTTCTCTTTCCATGCGAAAGCCCTAATTAAAAAGCTTAATAGCCTTGACATTTATTTGATATTGCTTTCTCCTCAGTAACTCCTATCAAGATGATAGGGAGTATCATAAACTTTCTTAGGGAGTAAGATATGAACAAATTGTATGGATTATAATGATTCTATGCATTCTTTTGTGCGTCTGCTTCTTCCCTCCAAGATGGATTCTCAAAAATTTAAATAATAGCAATGCTTATGGTCTGGTGATCTTCATAATTAGTTCTGATATATTATTGAAAATGCTTTCTGCTGCCAGAAGCAGGGAGAAGGGAAAGCTGCTCTTTGATTACCTTAATGAACATATATAACACATTTTAAACACAATTTATTCTGAACTTTCACCAAGAGTTCCCTATACCTATGAGATGCCAGTGCAATTCCAGGATCTCCCCTAAGAGAGAAGCACAGGCCCACAGTGCTCCGTGTGATCACAGAGACCTCAGGGGAGCAGCACAAAAATACTGTTCCTGCACACAGAACAGATACTCTGCCTCTTTGTAAAGAGCTCAGCCCTTGCTTTTACACTAATCCATTTTACTTGTTGTTAAAATTCAGATTAAAAATGGCGCATTCTGTATTATTCCAGTCCACTGAAAAGTACATACAGGATGACTCTTTCAAATAATTAAAAGTTATTTCAGCAAGGAAGTGATTTCTCTGCAGAACAGGTGTTCATGGAATTAATGGTCTAGATTTTCAGTTTGGATTAGCAAATAAACTTTTTATATTATTAATGACCGTTTTTGCAATTTTCTTATTTATTCCATTATTTGTGCTCCATCCATTCATTGCATCCTCAGCATTACATTGCAACAATTTCTCTCCCACAGCTCAAATAAAAGCCACCAACTAAGCAGCAGTAATTTACAAGCCCATTGTTACATAGAAATGCCAAAATCTTCTGAGTCTCAAATTAGAACAGTTGCCAGGGTCTTCAGACATATAAAATATTTTCTGTAGGCCGTGATGTCTGATGTAAATACACTGCCAGAGTAGGGTCAGCCAATTCAAAACCATAAATAGCAGAATGGTGGCAGAAAATGTTAAAAACAATTACAATACACATGTTCTTTCCCCCTTAGGACAAAAGAGTCTCATCACGTTCCATTTTGCTCTGCCAGAAATATTTAACTGATTCATGTTTTGTGGTATAAATACATAAATCAGATTCTGTTCCTGTTTCTAGACAGCTCATTTTATGTAACACAGATTCATGTGAAACAAAGTATTCTGATCTCCTTAATTTCCTTCTCTCTAAACCTTAATTACCACAAAGAAGCTTCAAATGGGGGCCAATGGGATACAGTTTCTAGCAAACAAATTTAGGAAATATTCAAAGATAGAGTGACTTATATCTCCAGTGTTATTTGTGTACATCACCACTTTGCTTCAAGACTGGAGCATGTATTTGCACCATGGAAAATGAAGGGAACAGATTGGTCTCTTTTTTAAACGCTATCCTCACAGGGAAGGAAAACCCAAAAGGAGGAAAGTGACATCACTTGTGTGAAGTGACATCACAGGGCAAGGATTGATCCAACAGGCAATTCACAATAAAGGAGAGGAATCATGCTGCAGGCAAGGCTAAAAAGGGAAGCAAAGACAACCCAGAGCACTATCTATAGATAGCCCTAAAGTGGGAACTAACAGAATGATCTGGGTCACAAGAGGCCGTGCAGAAATGTTGCCTTCCAGTTTCAGGAGCAGTGTGTCCACATTGTCAGGACTTTCTGCCTGAACAAGCCACACAGTCCAAGTCAGCTTAAGTCATGGAGCTCAGGGCTAGTTTTTTTTCTCTACAGATAATCATGCTATTGCTTTTTACATGCAAAAATTGCAAAGACAAAGCAAAGTTCAAAATCTCAAGCATGAGTATTCATGGAGACTGAAGTTTTAACAGATCAGTGAGCTGATTTCCACCCATTATAACAGGACCACACCTCAGCCACAGTGATTTTGTGTCAGTGCCTGTTCTGAGGACAGAGCTCTGCAGCTCAGCACATGCAATGCACTCCATACCTTGGAAGTGGGTGAACATCTCAAGTCTCTTCAAGCAGGACCCAAACAAGCAGTTCTTAAAAGAAGCCAGCTGAGACTTTTTGCACCCAATGGCATGGCCAGTTTGATTGTTCTGGTCAGACACCTTGGAGAAATACTCCACAGCTTGGAAAAAGAGGCATTTTTAAGTTGCCTAAGGGTAGACATACATGATGCACAGTCCTGCAAAGAGATAAATGTAAGAAGCAATGAGGCTTTGTTAATGGTGCTTCTGCTCACACTGAACTATTTATTGCTGATGAAAGTATTTTAGCTGATTCAGAGTTAATACAGATCTCTGAAAGTGTTATTTCTTGGAGATATAATTTAAAATTTCTATATTCTTTTCATAAATTATTGTTTCTGGAATGACAATATTTTTCTGAGAGATACAGAACTCTAGTGGTCTTTCAAGTCCATCTGCTGAATGTAATTCAGCCAGGCAGAGGAGAAAATCTTCAAATAGCTGGCACAGTCAGTCATGGTGTAACAGCTCGATTTGAAGAGAAAATATTAATTATACAATTTCTCTAAAGGGATTGCTCTGTACAAATCTAGAAATCAGTAGAAAACGCCATGGAGATGTGGATAATTTAATCCAAACTTACTGGCAAGTATTATTATTATTATTATTATTATTATTATTATTATTATTATTATTATTATTATTATTATTATTATTATTAGTCTTAGACACATTGAAAATTATTCCCTTCCCCTTCCCTCCATCTCCAGCAGAATCTTTTGGTTATAAACCTCCAAATTATCAATAATATCCATTTTGAACATCGTTAACCAGATTCCATACAGGGTAAATTTCTTTCATGTACCTGTATCAGCAAACTTACTTCCAATATGGCATACAGGAATCCTGCTCCTTTTCCTTGTAAAAGGTAGAATGAAAGGTCAGTTTAATGGATTGCTACATTTCACAAAATAATGTACCGTGACCAGGTTCACTGCTTCCCAGCAGAAATCATTACAGCAAAACTCCACACTGAATTCACAGCAAAAATGGGAGGCATCCCCACAAGTGGCAAAACAACAATCCTTAAATCAGATCACATGAACTAGTTAATTCCTTTTGTTCTCTAAACAGAGGAGTGTTTGGGGCACATGTCAGAATAAGAAACAGGAGTTAAATTATTAACAAGTAGATCAATCACTTTAATAGCCAGAAAACTAATAACAGCAAAGAAAACTGATTCATAGCATGTCAGAATAATGCTAGTGTAAAATAATAACATGAAAGAAGACAAATTGTCCCAGAGAACGTTTTACTCCTGTGCAGTATTATTTAGCCTGTATTCTTAATCAAATTTGGCATACTCACAAATTTCAAAAGGAAAAAGAAAACAGGAAAAAACCCCCATAGACACACTCCCAAGGCAGAAAAGGCAGGTAATAAAAACATTCCCATCCAACATGTGTATGATTAGATGATTTAGTTTTAGTATTTTTTGCTCTTCTCTAAGTAAGATCACATTCATCTTTCATAAACTTAAAATATGTTCACACTCACTCAGACCCTGTCCTTTTAGCCAGACTGGACCACACAAGTTAATCTGTAGTACTGATATTTACCAATGCATTTATAATTTCAAGTATTTAAAACATGTTCTAGCTCACACATTTCTGACAAGCTTAAGGCAATTAAAAGTCTAACCAGCCCAGCATTTTATGTAGACTAATGGCATAGATAGCTCTATGTGCTATTTGGGGTCTTCTCAACAATCTAGTTATCTTTCATTAAAAAGAAAACCAAAAAAAAAAAAAAACCAAAACAAAAAGAGAATATCAAAAGGGTAAAAGATGTGCAACTCCAGACAGTAGAACAATCTCTTAAAGTAATTGGCTAAAATTTTATTAACGATGACTTTAAAAAACAAAGCCAAAAAACCACAATATTTTTGTGCTCAGTAAATCACATAAACTTTTAATTCTGGTCAATTTGTATTCTGGCACAACTTGACACACAAAACAGATCAATTCTTTCACAAGAACAGCTTTTCTTCACACCATTTAATAAAACAAACAAATGTTAAGAGTAAACAGAGATTTTATCTGCATGTAAGGAAACTGAGCTGAGTTGAACAGCCTGTAAACTTTCCTGCAGGGAAGATGTTCAATTTTCAAACATCTTTATCGGGAGCTCTTTTTATTTGTTTACAGGAAATACTATGTAATCAGAAATTAAATCCTTCCAGGTAACAAGGATACTCAGCATAATCCTGCTAAGAGATGCTTGGAGATATTTTTGTACACAGTTACATTTTAGTTACAGATACTTCTCTCTGCATCAGAATGTGTAACTAAATAAGTACAGATAGTGCAAAAGGCTACAAAACTATGGAAGCTTGCTGTGAATTCTGAATATTAGCTACATGCTACAGGAAAACAGCACACCTGCTCTTAATGTCACATCTTAGCATAATAGATGATTTTATAACAATTTATTACCGAATATTGATTTAAGTGGCTTAATTCTGAAATAAGAAAAAGGTGTTTGTCTTTTGCATTTAGCTAAGATGAACAAAGTTTCTTCCTTATTCTAATTACAGTTTCAGCATTGCTGGCCACAGAGCTAGGTGTAGGGAAGTGTCACTTACCAGAACTGAACATAGAGTGGTGCTATTTGAACAAAAATGGATAGAATTTGGTCATTGAAAGTTTGGGATGTGCTAAATAACTTTTCGAGTGATAACTTTTTGGGTTACAAAACAAACAGGAAAGAGCCAAGTTTTCACGTGAATTACTGTCAAAACTGCCTGATGATAACATGTAGCCCAGCTGTCCATGCAAAAAACAATTTTCTTTTAATCTTTTAAGTTGTCCAGCATTGAAACTTTATGATAGCAAGCTTGCAAGAAAACCAAGACAGTGGTAAAGGGATTAAATGTGTTGTGCAAGGATTTACACCTTCTCTGAAGATCTTAGGCTTAGCCTATCTGGAAAATAAACACAGGTCATAGTCACTTAGCTTGCCATGTAGATTTCAAACCAAGATAATAACAAAGCAAAACATTTACAAACAAAACATTTACAATTGATACATTCGTTCCCTCTAAACATTAAGAAATTTTTCACAAGGAGGGTGGTAAAACACCGGCACAGGTTGCTCAGAGAGGTTGTGGCTGCTCCAGGCCAGCTTGGACGGGGCTTGGAGCTCCCTGCTCTGGTGAAGGGCTCCCTGTCCACGGCAGGGGAGGGCTGAAATGAGGTGATTTTAAGGTGATTTCAACATAGATTCAATCACAGTGCAGTGATAACGAACTGATTTGTTGTGTTAAACTGGTGCACCTCTTTGTTTAATATGCAGTGTAAAAGGCGAGTGACCGAGAAGGCTTGAGCTGCTCTCACTGCTCTGTCGGACAGACCGACATGGTAAGGGGTAGAACACGAGCGAACAGCCTCAGGCTGCCCTGGTGGAGCTCACACTGGGAACTGCTCCCCCGAAAGGACTGGCCAGCACTGGAACGAGCTGCCGGGGCAGTGCTGGAGTGACTGCTGCCGGGGGTATTTAAAAGACGCGTGCACTTGGGGATACGGCTCCGGGAGGACCTGGCAGTGTTGGATTTACAGCGGCACGGGACGATATAAAGGCTCTTGTGCCCGGTCAAACACTCCATAACCCCACGGCCTCTCACGGCCCCGCTCCGCCCTCAGAGCCGCGCAGGCCCCGCCCTGCCTGCCGCTCGCTGGCTAATCGCGGCTCCGCCCTCCTCGGATTGGCCAATCGCAGCCTCTCCCTTCCCAGGCTGGCCAGTCACCGCCCCATCCTCCCGGGGCTGGCCAATTGCGGCTCCGCCCTCCCCGGGCTGGCCAATCGCTGCCCCTCCCTCCCAGGCCTGGCCAAGCGCAGCGCGGCGCGGTCGCTATGGAGACGAGGGACGCGGCCCGGCCCCGCCATGGCCTCCTACCGCCTCGGGGTCCGCGTCGGGAACTGGCTGGAGGACGAGATCGCGCAGCAGGTACCGCCATCCATCCCCGGGTACAGCCATCCCAGGGCACCGCTGCCTCCCCAGCTCCGGGCTGCCCCCCGGCTCGCTAAATCCACTTTAAACCCGAGATTGTGGGTGATGGATAACATATTTGCTCCTCTCTCCTTTGCCGACAGGACCTCCTAAAGGATTTTATCCGTAAGAGAGAGAAAGGACAACTTTTTGTACAGAGATTAGCCAGGCTTAAAGAGAATATTTTCAAGAAGGTAATTTTTTAAAGAGGGTTGTGTCCACTTCCCCCTGACCCCCACAGAGTGGCATAACTCCTATTATTGTTCTTCATGCACTAAGAATGATACGGAATTTATATACTAAAATACTTCTGATGTTAGGTTCAGCTAACTCTGTAAAGTACCGTGTAAATTCTAATTCAGGTAGAGCTGTCAGTGTCCTCTGATGGATTTGTTCACTTTGGAGACACCGTGCTGCTCGTGAACCCGGACTGCACCCCCCCGGAGGAGAGGGACCCCGAGCTGCGCGGCGATGTCACCCTGGCTGTCGACATGGAAGAAGTGTCCCTGTACTCGGACGAGCCCCTGCAGATCTCACGTGGACTCAGTGCCGTCAAGAGGGTGGACCCCATAGGTCGAAATGCTTTCTGTATTGTAAGGTCTGCTACTTCATTCTGAGTTGTTTTCACTTATTAGTTTAGCTTTAGGTATCTTTGTTTTGAGAAATGTACAATGAAGTTTACTAATATACAAAGGAATATGAGTAAATTTAATTTATTTAAGAAAGAGTCTTCAATCATGCATTAAGCTTGATTCTATGCTGCATATTACTCCAATTAATTCCAAGGACCTCTAAATCAGTTTAGGTGTGAAGACAGAATCAAGTTCACTGTATCATTTGGTAAATTCTGCAGCTGTTTTTATTCCAGTTGCAGAGAAAATATGTCCAAATATCACTAGTATTAATATTCACTCTCCTGCCAGCAGAAATATGTGTCTTTGCTTTTGCTTTCCATGAAGTGGACATGGTTCTGGTTCTAAAAAATCCAGCATATTCCCTTTCTCAAATATATAGAACAGAAGAACAGAGTCTTGATCAATAGTCAAAGGCTCTGCCTTAGATTAAGATATTTTACCTATTTTAAAAGGTAAACAACACAAAATGTTGTCACAAAGCAACATCTAAGTGTAGACCAAAACAGACAAAACTCCTAAACAATAGTAAAACTGATATTTCAATGTACTTTTTTTCCCTTTTTACAATTTCAACAGTGTTGATGGAAGTGCAGTGGGTGAACCCCTTCGATATGGGCAGAACTTTCTTCTTGGGACAAAAGGAGGGGTTTCTGACAAACTGGTAAGGCACCAAAGTTACAAATGGCAGTGGTAGCATAGACTGATAATGTCCCTAAGAATAGATATATAAAGCTGTACACTGGTGCAATTTCTTAGTTTTACAGAACAGGATCAGACTCATGCATAGGTCAAGATAAGAAAAAGAAAGTTTATGCTCCTTACCTGAGGTCAGGTGTGCAGACCAAGGGGGCTGAATGACTGAATAAAGGAAATCTAAAAAGGAAGGAGAAAGAAATCACAATTGGATTGTGAATCATGAAAGAATTCTTCAAGGAGATTTTAGGGTTTTTTCACTTTGAACAACTCACTTAGGTGTTGAAGTTGATGGTCTTTGTAG